GTGCCACAATGCATGTGTGCCTCTATGTCTGTGTGATCCCCCAGCCTCTCACTGGGGGATTCTAGGCAGGGGCTCTACCACTGAGCCACACCCCAGCCCTACTCTGTTCCTTTTTGTTTGTTTTAATGTATCTATTGGAAAAAGATTAATTATATATATATATAATGTTCCTGTTGGGCAGTGTTGAGCGCTTAGGAAGGATTCTGGATTCAACCCCTTGAAATGCTGATAAGAAGCAAACAGTAATAAGTAAACAATAGTACCAGGATATGCCGCACCTGCTAGCCTACTAAGTGTTTTTTACTCGTATCAGTGCAGACTTCTCCCCCCCCCCAATCTTGTGAATAAGACATTATTTTGGGGTGTGGGTTTGTCGAGATGGTTCAGGGGTTAAGAGCACTGGCTGCTCTTCCACAGGACCTGGGTTCAATTCCCAGCAGACACTTGGTGGCTCACAACCATCTATAATAGGATCTGGCCCCTTCTTCTGGCCTGCGGGTGTACATGCAGAGCACGCATACATAAAATATACATAAAGTTTTTTAAAAAATTAAAAGACGTTTATGATCCTCCTTTCACAATGATGGAAACGAAAATGGGAAAGTTGAAATATACATACGGCCCAAGGTCACACCACCCTCAGTGGTAGACACGAAGCAAGCCCTCACACACACACACACCGCCCCCCCCCCATTCCCGGGTCTTGTTTTAGGGTTTATGTCTCAACGCAAAATTCTATACCATGTCAGACACCACAAAGGAAGATGAGGACTGAGTCCCAGAATTCCCAGACCTGCTGAAGGTCTACCCTTCTAAAACCTGAATGAATACCCAGTGGACTGGAAGCTGGGAATTTTTGTGGCTTTGTTCCGGACCTAAATTGCAACCCAGTTGCTGCGGTGTGTTAACTGTGTGACTCTGGGCAAGACACTGTGCCTCTTTGAGCCCATGCTTTCTCTTGGGGGGGGTGGCAATAACAGTAGCTCTTCAGCAGGGTTATTTGAGTGCCACATGAATGAGTTACAGTAACAGTCAAGTCAGCCTTCACAAGCGAGCTCCATGACACACTAACCTCCTTTGGCTTGCAGCATACCCGCTTCCCCAGTTTTAAATCAACGTCTGTCTGATCCTTTCTCATCTCTCCTGTGCTGCCTTTCTCTAGCTCCCTCACGCTTTAACCCTTCCTGAGAGTCGGTTTTGTTTGTCAGCTGGCTACAGCCTAAAGTCACCTAAGAGACTCACAGGGAGGGATGGTTTAGATCAGGTGGGCCCTTGGGCGTGTCTTTGGAGGATCCTCTCGATTGCTTTGAGATGGCTAGATGTGCCCCCTGTGGGTGGTCCCATTCCCTGGGCTTGGGCTCCTGGGTTGTATGAGAGAAAAACCCAGCACTGGTGGGCAACACGCAGCACGCATCCGTCCGTTTCTCTCAGCTCTTGACTGTGGAGGATGTACCGTGACAGGCTATTTGAAGCACCTGCCCTCCCCACATCAATCCACCGTAACCTGGTCCACGTGCGGAAGAGCAACCCCTGAGGGCATGAAAGCGGGAGAACTGACCCTACCCCTTGCCCATCACTGCAAGGGGTGAACTAGCTAGGGCACCCGCTGGAGAGAACTCACCCTGGTAATGAGGACGGGGCTGACCAACCCTGCAACAACCCAGGCCCAGAATCAGGGCTATGAGTTGGTCCAACCCAACATCCACCCCATCCATCCATCAGTATGTGAAGGGGCTGGTCCTGCAGACCCAAAGCTGCGGGACCTCCATGACACAGGGCACCAGCAGGATAGCCAAGAGGAGTTCCAATGAGAGCCCAGCATCTCATTGGGTAGCAGAAACCATCGGACCAGACCGATGACTCTCTGCAATGATCACATACTTGCAAGAAAAGATATATGGGCTAAAGGGTTTGCTTTGTGACTCCCTGTGACACACTGAAGCTTCCATAATGAGATTTCCCCCTCCTATTTTTTCTTTTCTCTTTTTTTTTTTCCTCTCTTAAATTTTATTTTACTGGGAGGGAGGAGAAGTCGCAAGGGGCAGAGGCTATGGACAAGGACATGAGTGGGATCAGAATCCACGATGTGAAAGACGCAAAGAATAAATAAAAGGAAGTTTTTAAAAAAATGTTGAAAAAAGTCCCTTTCTCCTTTAAGTTATTTGTTGACAGAGTATTTTGTCGTAACAACAGAAATGAAATTAGACCGCCTTTTGAGTGTCTTTTCTTTCTTTTTTTCTTTCCCTAAGACAGGGTCCTGCTGTGTAACCCAGGCCCATTGGAGCCTTGGATCTTGCCCTGGAAACCCTGCCTCCAGAGTGCTGGGATCATAGGAGTGGGCCACCGTGCCTGTCTGGCTTCAAATGCCTTTTTTTTCATTTTTCTTATGCTTGTTTTGATGCAGTTCTAAGGAGTACTACTTCTATTGAGTCAGCGCGTCTCGCCAGAGCCGAGGCTGGACAGCAAGCCCCAGCGACCCTCCTGTCTCTACCTTCCCAGCTCTGGGATTTGCAGGCATTTGCCTCCCTGTCCGGCTTTTTATGTGGGTTCTGGGACTTGAACTCAGGTCCTTGTGTTTGCAAAGCAAGCACTTTATGAAAAGAGGTTGTTTGTTGTGCTTCTTTTTCCTCTCAGGTGACTCTGGTCCACTCATGCACTGACGCTTGTCACACGGACATCTCCAGCCTGACTCCAGTCTCCCAAGACCGTATTTCTAACAGGCAAGAGGAGGAAAGGACCACAAACAGACCAAACCTAACTGAGAATGGCTTCTTCGATTTGTAAGGGATGAAGAAAGGGTGGAGGAAGAGTAGCGTCCTGGCTTCTGAAAATGCCATGGAATTCAGCCAGACCTTTTGACACAGACCTTTTATTACATCTGCTTGTGAGGCTGAGGCAGAAAGATTGCGAGTTCAAGGCTAGCCTGAGAAACTTGGTGAGTCTTTGTCTCAACAACAAAAAAAAAAGCTGGGGCTACAGCTAAGGGGTAGAGCGCCTTCCTAACAGGCTTGAGGCCCTGGGGGAGAGAGGGGAAGCTAGGTGTGGTGGTTCATACCTGTGGTCTCAGTACTTAGGCTGCTGAGGCAGGGGGACTTCTATAAGTTGAAGGCTAACCTGAGCTGCATCGAACAGTCCTGTCTCAAAAGCAAGTCGAGAAGCTAGGTCTGGGGGACTCGTGCTGTAATCCCAGCACTTCGGAGACAGAGACAAGGGGATCTTGTCTGAGCCGACGAAATGGCTCACTGGGTATAGGTGCTTGCTGTCGAATCAGATGACCTGAGATCCACCCTGGAACTCAGGTGGTAGGAAGAGAAGAGAAAATTAGCTGCCACGAGTTGTCTGCTGACTTCAACCT